CCCGAAGACAACTAATCACAGACATCAGAAGGAGACGGTCATTGTTTTTCGGCCATGTTATGAGAAGAGGGAAAATGGAACATGTTGTGACCACTGGAAAGATCTGTGGAAGGAGGGGAAAAGGAAGACAACGAGAGAAGATTCTTGACGATCTTGTTGCATGGCATGGAGGTGAGTCAGCACACGAACTGATACATGCTGCAGGAGATCGCAGATTCTGGCGAGGCATAATCAGCAATGCCAGTCGGCAAGGCACCTGATGATGAGAATGCACTTTTGTGTTCGTATTGGGCAGAATAGTTGGTCCCGCTATTCGTATTCGGCCGAATAGTAAAAATCACTATTCGGCACAGCCCCAATATATATATATATATATATATATATATATATATATATATATATATATATATATATATATATATATATATATATATATACATATATAAATATAAATATATATAAATATATATATTAGGGCTGTACCGAATATTCGCTTCGTATTCGCTTCGGGGCCGAATAGTGGACCAAATAACTATTCGGTATTTGGCCGAATAGTTGCGGTTGGGCCGAATACGAATAGTGGTTACCTTACCCTCGTTTCTGCATACACTGCGATGGACTGAAATAATTCTCTCATTAACACAAAAGTTGCAGTTGCCTTAGTTGGTTGCGTGGTACAGCAGCTGGTAAGGTATTAGCCTACGGACTCGACCGAGGCATTACAGCAGAGGTTCTCAAACTGGGTGCCTATGCCAGGGGTGCCCCAGCGAAAATGAAGAAAAGACGGCTATAAATTGAGACATTATTAAAGAGGGCATGAAGATACTTAAAAGGTAAAATTTAAATGGTCTTTCCTCGCCACTGTCAAAAAGAGGACAAGCGACAGGCAATAACTGCAATTTCTCAAATGAAGAACATCTTATGCAAAATATCTTTGTCATTGAAGGTTAGAAAAATAATTCTTGCTTGCTACATACATCCAGTTTTAACATATGGCTGTAAGTCCTGGACAATCGGTAGGCAGGCCAAACAATTTCGCAAGGCCTCAGAGATGTAGTTTTACAGAACAATGCTTAAAATACCTTGAGCAGAAAAAAAAAAAAAAAGCAACCAAGAGGTTTTGAAAGAGGCGGGAGCCCGAAGACAACTAATCAAAGACATCAGAAGGAGACCGTCATCATTTTTCGGCCATGTTATGAGCAGAGGGAAAATGGAACATGTGGTGACCACTGGAAAGATCTGTGGAAGAAGGGATAGAGAAAGACAACGAGAGAAGATTCTTGACAGTCGTTGCATGTCATGGAGGTGTGTCAGCACACAAACTGATACATGCTGCAGGAGATCGCAGATTGTGGCGAGGGACAATCGCCTTCGTCAGTCGGCAAGGCACCTGATGATGATGATACACTATTCGTATTTGTATTCGGCCGAATAGTTGGTCCCACTATTCGTATTCGGCCGAATAGTGAAAATCACTATTCGGTACAGCCCAAATATATATATATATATATATATATATATATATATATATATATATATATATATATATATATATGTATATATATATATATATATATATATATATATATATATATATATATATATATATATATATATGATAGTGCCCAATTAGTTAAGTGTCCTCGTACACTTGTTTTGCAGCAAGGCGCTGTCGTCATTTGGAGGTGACTTGGATTCCTGGAATGGAGACTATATCTTGCGAGTTTTATGTTTCATAGTTTGTCCTTCTATATTTCTACTACTTTCTGTGAGTGGTAATCAATGCATGCCTATTTGTTGAATATATATATATAATTCACAGATTGAAATGATATAAATTTACGTCAGTTATACATCAGATGGTTTGGTCACTTATAAAGACTGCTTTGGGCCACCATACCATACAAGGCATATGCCAAAAGAGGAGAAAGACGCAGAGTACGAGGTAGACCGAGAACAACATGGAAATATAACATCAGAGAAACTCTACAACAGCACGATGTCGTCTATGGTTGAGGCGGCTAGAAGAACAGACCTTTTTATATACCTCCACACCGGAAACAATCAAAGTGGTAGTGAATAATAATATTAATAATAATAATAATAATTGAAGAAATAATAATAATATTAATAATAATAATAATAATAATAATAATAATAATAATAAGAAGAAGAAGAAGAAGAAGAAGAAGAAGAAGAAGAAGAAGAAGAAGAAGAAGAAGAAGAAGAAGAAGAAGAAGAAGAAGAAGAAGAAGAAGAAGAAGAAGAAGAAGAAGAAAGAAAGAAAGAAAGAAAAAGAAAAGAGGAAGAAGAAGAAGAATTGGGCAAAGAAGGATAATAATAAGAAGAAGCGGAGAAGGAAAAGAAGGAGGAGAGGAATACATTGTCCATGAGCGGTAGAGGTGTTCAGATTTCAACACTAAATGTTTTTATAGTACCAGGGGTCCATGCAAACAACAACGACGAGTGTAACAATAAACGAGCCAACACGCAGGTCTGAGTCTTACAGTTTATTGAATGTTTAGTTTAATAACAAGCATTTCACTAGTTCTTTATCGATATATTACATATGTACACATGACTAGAATATCTATGGCTGTGTAGTTGCTTATTGTTTATTCTTCTTCTTCTTGTTCTTCTTCTTGTTCTTGTTCTTCTTGTTCTTCTTATTCTTCTTCTTCTTCTTCTTCTTCTTCTTCTTCTTCTTCTTCTTCTTCTTCTTCTTCTTCTTCTTTTTCTTCTTCTTCTTCTTCTGCTTCTTTCTCCTCCTCCTCCTCCTCCTCCTCCTTCTTCTTCTTCTTCTTCTTCTTCTTCTTCTTCTTCTTCTTCTTCTTCTTCTTCTTCTTCTTCTTCTTCTTCTTCTTCTTCTTCTTCTTCTTCTTCTTCTTCTTCTTCTTCTTCTTCTTCTTCTTCTTCTTCTCCTTCTTCTCCTTCTTCTTCTTCTTCTTCTTCTTCTTCTTCTTCTTCTTCTTCTTCTTCTTCTTCTTCTTCTTCTTCTTCTTCTTCTTCTTCTTCTTCTCCTTCTTCTTCTTCTTCTTCTTCTTCTTCTTCTTCTTCTGCTTCTTCCTCCTCCTCCTTCTTCTTCTTCATCTCCCTCCATCTCCTTCTGCTCCTTGTCCTCTTCCTAGATGGCTCTTATGTAAACATGTACACTTAACACTTGCTTATCCACGAGTAAGGTGCTGCACTGTTTCACTGCACGGATCCCTACATTTACCATCCATTATTGTTCTGCATAGTAATGACAATAATAATGATAACATTAATAGAGGAAATAATAATAATAATAATAATAATAAATAGTAATAATAATAATATTATTAATAATCTTCCATGTCATGACATCACTATTCACCATCTTCTCTGTTGTTCTCTCTCTGCCTTATCTGCCCCCAATTATCCCTCTGTCACGATTTACGTTGGCAAAGACTAAGGCGCCGATGCCAACTTATCAGTGGTCGGTCTTCTCTCTCTTCTTCTTCTTTGCGTTCACCGGCTGTAAACTCCGGCGATAAGTTTTGGGTGTTTGTCCGTCTACGGACTTTTGTCTTGTTCGGGAAGCTCAGTTTTGCGTGCGTATCCGTTTGACGGAGCTGGCTTATTTGTTTTCAGGACTCTTGGTTCCTTGCCTGTCAGGCAGATGCCCTAGTTAGTCGACCCCTACGACATGCTTAATGGGGAAGCAATGTGTCTATTCCTACCCCCCCCCCCCCGCCTCCCCCCCCCCACACTGGGGCCCCAGAATCCACACGGGAAAATAGTCTAAATACTTCTCTTCCTGTGGGAAATCTACTATTTTAATCAATAATAAGTCTACCTATAAACCAGTCCTGACCTATGGGTGTGAGTCATGGGCAATGACAACAGCTCACAGAAGCCAGATTCTGGCCTCAGAAATGAGATATCTGAGAAAGGTGGTCCAAGTGACAGGAAGGGACAAAGTCTGCAATCAGACAATACATCAAGATCTTGAAACCCAGGCCAGCAAACCTGACTGGATCAGTCACAGTTACGATGGTTTGGACATGTATGCAGAATGGGAGAAAAAAAAGCCACCATTGCAGGCATGGGAGGCTAAGAACCAGGGAACCAGACTTCCAGGACGACCCAGGGTCCGTAGGGAAGACAAGATCCGACAGTCCCTAACTGACAGAGGACTGGAATGGAACAAAGGCAGAAAGAAAACTGCTGATAGAGACGTCTGTCGACCTCTCTGGCAAACCTCTACACCCCATGGTAGAAGAAGAGCAACTAAGTAATTAAGTATAATAATAATGATCCTAATAATAATATTGATTGTGGTGATGATGCTGGTGGTTATATTGATGATGGTGATGCTGGTAAAGTAAAGTCGGGAGATGTGAACCAGCGTCACTGCACACGGTTATAAACCTTAAGTGCTCTGCCACCAGTACGGACAGCTGATAAGAAACTGCCCGCCTGTGTCGCATTTGGCTCGCATGTCCGTTGCTACGACTACGTACCTCCATTTAGAGTGTTACTCTGGTACCCATTAACTAGAGGCTGGGTGAACCACGGAAACCGCCCCGTTTCGAACAAAGCCCGTGCGCTGCAGCGAGTCGCAGCTGGATTTAAAAGCGAGTCCCCTATCCACTGCGCTAACGCAGTCCCTGATGGTGATGTTGGTAATGTTAATAATGAGATAATGATGGTGAAAGTATTACGAACATTAATATCTTCTTCTTCTACGTTCCTCCAAAGATATAAATGCCTCGCGCCCGTTTACAACATGGCTTTCGGCCTATTCATCCGACTTCTGCAGGTATTTGATGCCCGCCTTTGAGAATAACAACCATGAGCCTAACGATGATGAAGAAGGTGATTGTAGTAGTATTAATGTTGTTGATGATAATGATGATGATGATGATGATGATGATGATATGGGCATGGAGACGTGCAGTGATCAAGAATTCGCGGTATTGCTCATTGTTCTTTGAAACCTGAAGAAAGACGGCCATTTTGACCAGAGGTCACAGTCTTCAGATAGTGGAGCTGGAACAACCGTCGTCATGCTTGGTCAGGAGCGACATGCGGGAGAAGGTTTTGTTGCACCTCTTACAGCTGTACCGTTTTACATCCGCGTGCGTCTGCAGGTGGGCGCGTAGGTTGGACCTGTCCGCAAACGCACGCCCGCAATGGTTGCATCTGAATGGCTTCTCTCCCGTGTGCGTCCGGATGTGACCTTGAAGTAACCAAGGCCGGGAGAAGGCCTTCCCGCAGACGTGGCACTTGCATGGGAGGGTGTGGGTTCGGATATGCATCTTCAGGGCACCCAGAGATATGTATGTCTTGTCGCAGTGTTTGCAGGAGAACTCCTTCTTGATGTGGGTGCTGCAGTGGAACTGTCTGTGCTTACAGAGCCCGCTTAAGGTGCTGTAACTTTTGTTGCAGGCATCGCAGTTGAATCTCACTGGGTCCGTCTCTTTACTGTCTTTCCGTTTGCTTTGGTGATATCCCGGATTGTGTTTGTTGTGGAAGTTTGCAACGTTTATATTTGTTTGGCTATTGCTGTGTGTGTTTCTACTGATGCTGGTGTTGATTCCGGCACTGCCGCTGTTGGTGCTGCTGCTGCTGCTGCTAATGGTGCTTGATGGAGATGTTAGACTCGCAGGAGAGGAGGGCGAGAGAGAGGATGGTTTGTGGAGTGAAAACGGTATGGTGTTTATCTGTGGACACTTGTCGAATGTCGGAGATAGGATGGTCAGTTCGGAAGTACGGTACGGTAGTTCTGAATGCAAAGGGATTCCTTGATGTGGTATGTTATGTTTTCGCAAAGGTGAAAAGGGAGAAGATGCTTCAGCGGGGGTTCGGAAAGTTTCCGGGAAGAATAATGCCGAAGGGGGAAGTGATGTTAGAGATGATTTCGGCAGTCCATCCTTAGCTAATGCTCTTTCCAACATAAATAAGGATAATGGGGAGTATCTGAAGGCGGAGTAAAAGTTGGGATACAGGGCGGGGTGGATGGACTGGGCGTGGCTTAGTGACCGTAAGTAATGGCTGGTCATTGGGTGTGAGTGTATACTACCAGTGTTGGGTAACCATCCAAAAGGACCTGTTTCTGAAATTTTAAGAGTATCTATGTGATGTTGATGAGAAATATGATTGCCATTACCAATAATTTCTGGATTTCTGGGTATATCAATGTTGATTCTTTCTAAGAAATTCTTCATTGTATCGTCCATCTTCTGATGGGACATGTCACTGGCTTTGCAATAGCCAGGAGAGTAGAGGTTTTCCAATTTGACTGCATGAACCGGCCGGTTCTTAGTTCTGGTCTCTGCTGACCAGGATGTGAATGACTCCTCTCTTCTGTCTATCTCTGGCACATCCGAAGCTTCAATACGCGGGTTACCTAAGTCAGGATCTTCCTGGGTTCGCCTTTTCACATTCACATCCTTATCTGTCATCTGTAGGGCACCTTGTAGTTTGTGCGTCCTTTTGAGCATTTGACCGTTCTCAAAACTGGAAGCCTCTGTAGAGTCCACATGATCTTTCACTGAGGACAGATCCCAGTTGGGAATCGCTTCTTGATTCATTTCAAACGAGGGATCTGCGAGCTTATGTTTCTTTCCATAGCTTTGTGATTTTGTCAAGTTTTCTTCGTGGTTTGTCAGGACTTTTCTTTTCTCACCGAGACGCTGTGATATGTTGAAGTTGGCGATCTTAATATTTTCGACGCATTTCGATTTCAGCTTCGAATCAAAGTCTTTACTTTGGAAATCAATAGTCGGGCTAATATTTGATGACGGCGATGAGAAATATCCACTATCATCATTCCAAGCAGAATGAGACGTGTCGCTTGTTTCTATTTTAACTTGAGTTGCTCTCGGTCTTTCCAAGACGTCCTGGATAATCTCGTGGCATTTTGCAGCAACTTTAACTAGTTTCGAATCGTTTTTTGGTGTTGGATGTCCAAAGTCGAGAATATTATAAACTGGATAGTATTCTTTAAAATTTAATAAGTTTTTGTTTAAGTCAAAATGTTCTGATCTCGCAGTTCGATCACTCCTATTGTGGCTGAGTTTAGATGGACTGTCGCTTTGATCATTTGCTTTGTAAAGATTGTTCGGATCTGCCGAGCGAACATCCTTACAAGTTTTCTTTTCATGTGTTTTGGGATTTTCCGATCGAGCGATCTCTCCAGGTTCAATATTGTCATCCCATTGAATTGGGCGCCAAAGAGCATTCCGTACGGGATACGAAGATATTGACGCAACAGAATCTGATGCAGATGTGTCTTTCAATGTTGGTTCGTGACTTCCTCTGTCGCCTTTTGCTTGATTACATACATTAACAGCAGAAGGTTCAAATCCTCCAGCCCTGTTGAAATCAGTATCATATTTATTGTTTGTAACATTGCAAGAAGGTGGTGTTTTCACACTGATGAACTGGCTGAAGACATCGAATCGTTTGTCCAAAGATGGACAGATGGATATGTTGATGTTGCTTTCAGACGTTGCTGGTGGAGTCACTGGAAATTTCGAGGGCGAGGCACTGGTGAGGTTCTCAGCGGCAGATGCTGTTTGCTGTGTTTGGTGAGGTCTGTTGATTCTGTCATTGAGTCCTAAAAGAGAAAAAAGAAATGTCATTAACAAATATGTTAATTTTTTTTTAACAGGCGACTTTTTTGTGTGTGTGTCTTACATAATAAATCATAAAGGCCTTTGCAGAACGTCGCTCTATTCACAGCACGCATAAATGTCTCTTTCTCTAACCAGTTATACGGCGCTATGTCCTTTCACTCACAGCCAATGGATCTTTAATATATTGTGGGCACCTCCGTAGAAGTCGGCTTCTGTCTCGTCTTCCGGAAACTGTACACTCCATCCCCGTTCTCTGCAGAGCACCATGACATTTAATATCTCCAGAGTTTTTTAACTTCCTGAAGAAGAAGAAGAAGAAGAAGAAGAAGAAGAAGAAGAAGAAGAAGAAGAAGAAGAAGAAGAAGAAGAAGAAGAAGAAGAAGAAGAAGAAGAAGAAGAAGAAGAAGAAGAAGAAGAAGAAGAAGAAGAAGAAGAAGAAGAAGAAGAAGAAGAAGAAGAAGAAAAAGAAGAAGAAGAAGAAACAAAAGAAGAAGAAAGCAGGAAGGAAGAAGGAAGATGAAATAAGAAAGGGGAAAGAGGACAGAGAAAACATGAAAAAGGAAAGAGGAAAGTGGAAAGAGGAAAGAGGAACGAAGAATGAAGAACGGAGGAAGGAGAAAGAAGAACGACGAACGAAGTAAGAAAGAAAAAAGAAAAATTAAGAAAGAAGAAAGAAAAAAGGAGTAAGAACGAAGAACGAATAAGAAAGAAGAACGAAGAACGAAGAAAAAAGAATAAAGAACGAAAAACGAAGAACGAAGAACGAGGAAAGAAGAAAAAGGAACAAGAAGCAATTCATGCTCTGTAACTTACCAAGGACACCCGACCTATCAATTGTTGGACAAATATTGGCTGTTGTTGGACCCAGCTCTAGGACACCAACGCCATCATCCGATGCTGGTAAACCAACAAGTGAGAGGCTGGGCCGGTCTGACTTGGGGTTGTTCTTAATCAGGAATGCTCGCGGCATCTTGAAATCTGGAGAGAGGGAGGGAAACAACGATGCCAAATTTGTGCAACAAACATATCAGACAGTATTCTCTTGAAAGCGAAATGTACAAGAGAACGAACGAAAGAACTAAATTTATTTTTAAAGGTTCTCTAATTCTCTAGGCCAGTTTTACATTCGTTCTTCCAAACACTAATCTTCCTTGCAGTATTTGTATTTTATGTTATAGATTCAACGAGGCGGTCTACGAAAGACCGTGTTCCCGAATCTGACAGACTTGATAGGTCTCAAATATACACTTCAACTCCCATATATGCCCGGCTCGCTATCTCAGTTGGTTAAACCAGCCTGCACGGTAACCGGGTGACAAACTCCGTGTGGTCTGAGTTCACGCTCGGCAGAAAAGTCACATATCTCCCAGATTTACGGTACCTATCATGGAATCATGGCCGAAGGGTTGCAATATCCATGGTACCGAGCCAAAAGGTTTACAACTCATGGTTT